TTTGTATTTCTTCAAATAGTTTTAAAATAGTTTTTCTGCTCCTTGTCTTCTTCACTCAGTACTTTGTCTTAGGGCCTTGTCCACATGAGCACATAAAAATATAACTCATCCTTCATAATGGCCGTACTGCATCCAGTTGAATAGATGTGTGCCATAATTTATTTTATCAATCCCATTTTGATGGAGCTGAAACTCTGTTGTTGCCATTAAAACCATTGCTGCAGTGACTATACCTCAACATAAATCTTTTCACACGTGTCTACATTTTTTTTCTTGCGATAAGCTTCTGGAAGTAGAAGTGCGTGTCTACCTTCACACATTTCACATTTCAAGAGCTACCACTGAAAGGCTGTGGGAGAAATGGTTCACCGGCTACAGCATACTCAAACAGAAACCCTTTGCAGTGTGTCAACTTGAAGTTCAGATCATCACCTCTAATAAAGTTTAAGAAATTAGCAGTTGACAACTAATGTTCATTTGAGCCACTGCTAAAGACTCTTTAGTTTGCAGTGGAGCAAAACATCTACTGTCCTTAACTATGAACTGAACACACAGTCTTGTGCTATTTATGGATACTGCCACCGTTCTGTCCCAAGTCCATGGCGGTGGCAGGAAATACGTATTTATATCTCTAGTTGGCCAGTATTTTAGAGTTTTATTTGATGTCCATAGCTGCAGTCAGACTCTTGAGGGTGGTCAATATCATCCATCAGATGATCAATGCATTATTACCAGCACCAGCTTACACCAAATAACAGCTTGTCTGCTCCAATCCTAACACTAATCCACTGCACTTAGCAGCTTTGCTGTAGTCGGCATTCCTAACAGGAAAGTGCACAACCACAGTTGTATCCGCTAGTTCTTGCACACGAAATCTATAAAGCGGCCCTTTGTTGAAAAGCATCTAAAACATACCCCTCCAGGCAGTTTTCTGAAATGTAGTCTTCAATGGTAGGGTTAAAACTTAATGTCAGACATGCACAAATTGTTGTTGATTTACCTGAAATCCTTGTGTTAAAATGGGGGGGGGGGGGGGATGTTCACCAGATAATAAAGTCATAAATGTGAGCCTCTAATATTTATGGTTTACTTAATCCAGTTTTGAATCTTGTCAAGTATAAATTATACAGACATTCTATTCAGAGCAAGCTTTTATATATCATTTCCAACGTCAATGAAATCGCATTGACTCAAGAACAAATGAATCATTGTTTACCACTCACTTGTGTCTCATGTAATTCATAGATATATAATTTTATTTTACTGAGGGATTCCAGGGATTCTTTTCTTGCAAAAAAATTTTTGAGAAGATTTATATTCCATTGTTTCAAAGATACCCCCCACACATCCACCCACATACCCCAAATAAATTAAGCATAAAAATTGTCATCATAAGTCATATATCCATACCAGAAGCAAACCTAATCTTAAAAGACTCATTTAACAGACCATGCATTCTTTGTCTCCTGTGCATATCCTGTTGAGTGTGAAGAATGTAGGATGTTCTAATTACTGAAAACATTGGAGACACTGCCTCTGAGTCTTCATTGGTGAATCTGTCCTTTAAAAATTAACTGTCCTTCCAAAGTTCTGGTATAAGGATGGGGGGAAGGGTGGAGAAAGAGGCACAAATATTTTGCAAGTTGTCACAGTAACTTCCTATGTCATTGCCCGGATTAAAAAAAAAGAAGATTCCAATATTCAATTATTGACATTACGAATCTTTAATCTACAGCACATTTTACTCAGTTATGTAATTTTAAATTTCAGTTTCATTTGATTGACTGTTTTAATCTTCCTTAACTAGTGAGTAAGTGAAAATAAATGGTGCATTCCTAATACTATAAATATGAAAAATAGGAAGAATTTAGGGGTTGCAGGCGAATACATTAAAATCAATCAGTTTTCTAGTTAACATATTCTCATTCTGCTTGTGTACAAAGCCCCTACATTGAGGAGACAGATCACAAATGTATGGCCTTACAAAAACACTGTTCCAATCTCGTGTTCTGACAGCAGAAATTGGCCCAAATCTCTAACCATTTTTCCCCTAACAGGCCCTGGCTGCCTGGTGCTATCCAGGTGAGGCACAGTCTCAGCAAGGGGAACGGCTCGTCAAATTCCTCTCATCTGTCAGTGTAGTGGATTATTTCTTGAGAGACTGAAATTGCCTGCTTGCAATCGGAACACCATCAATCTTGCTGTGGAGGGGGACTGGGGAGCTTCCTGAGGTGCTGGCTGGAGGGGGAGGGGCTGCCATTCCTAAGCAGGTGAGGAGGGCTAGAGCCCCCCCATACACACACAGGCACACACACACACACACACACACACACACACACACACTCATAGTGAAAGATTTGTCATTTTGCACATTTCCACATGCTCGGAAGGCGTGCCACGTGCACTGTTCTACCTTCTGTAGGGGGTGATTTTTCAAGCTTAGGCCAATGCAGTAAAGCTGGTATCTGCTGCTGCCTCGTTTTTCCTCATCATGTCACTCATTTTCACCAATTTGAGAGAATGAGATTATGTTTTCCCTTTTGTATTCGTTTATCCAACTATTTATTTATTTACTTATTTATTTATTTGCTCATTTAGGGGTGGATTGTCAACAGATAACTGGTCCTGGTGGGTTTTTGTTTCTTTGTTTGTTTGTTTGCACATACATTTTATTAGTGTCCCTAAAGATTGAAGACCCACAAAGGAAAATGCCACATCTGAGGGAAAAAAAAAGGAAAAGAAAAGAAACACATTTTTACTCTTAAAATGGAAGCAGAAGAGCTCCTTAAAGAGTGACTGAAATAATATAGAAGATTGCTGTGACCAAGATCTATCACTCTAATTGTAGAAATCCTAAGTTGAATAAGCACATTACATAAACCAACTGGACTTCCAAATTGACATCGTTTTTTTTTTTTTTGTTTTTTTTTTTTTTTTCCAAATCAACATAGTTTTAATCCCCCTGCATCTAAAGGAGGCATTTGTAGTTGCTCCTTTTCCACAATAAGGCTGAGATAGTGCTCAAAGAGTGAGTATTTGGAGGAAGAGTTATTGGCAACATAGTTCCTGGGGATTCTTAAGGGAAGGCTCTAACATCTATTGGCTGATAATGAGCAAACTCCACGGTCAGTAAGAGAGAACGTGAGCAATGAGCTTAGTTTCAGTCAGGATCTTGTATCTGTTTCTCAGTTTTAAAAATATTTTAGTAAGACCTGAGATGGTAAGAACTTCCTTGTTACACATGTCAGCTCCAGCTCCCATAAGTGAATAGACACACACTATGTAAGAGTCCACTACCCGCACAGCAGCCAGTAAGAGAGGTCGTCATCGCTGGCATGTCCAGGCCGTGCATCACCTAGTTAGAAAACGAGAGCAACAAGCTTTCGTGCCGGCCAAGTGGATTTATTAGCAGTATAAACAGTAGATTTTGACTCATTCAGCATCTCCGACTTACAGGTCACAGTCCCTTGGACAGGGCATCTGTATGCTTGCTATTTATAGGGAAATTCACAGCGCACAGAGCACTTTCCGCTACTTGGGGGGTCATCCTCTCATCCCCCTCCCTCGTCTCCTGATGGGGTCAGATATGGGACATCACTTATCCAAAGTCATGGCGGGAAAGTTAAGTGACAGAGTATTGATCAGTCCCTGGCCTGGCCCCCACCACCTGCCACCTGTTTAATGGCTCCCTGTATTGGCATGACCTTAAAGTTCCCATAGATTATATCGGACGGTCCTCACAGAGGCTACCTGGCATTGTCATTTTGCACCAGTGGGCATCCCCCCCCCCGTGGCAGAATTACATGGGCATGACCTCCATTGGCAACCATTCTTTGGGTGGTTTCAGGCCAGTTACCCAGCCCCTCCAAACTTCCACTTCCGTTCTCTGGGAGGACAAAAAGAGACAAAACTATATCCACTTACACAATGATTAAACTAACAACATGGATTAACCCCGAACATGGTGCCTAGCACTGTCGGGATTAATGGTTCCTTTATCTCATTGTTGAGCATTACAGAGAAAGCGCATTCCCCAGGTTATTTGTATGACCATGTAACAAGCCAAAGACTTTTCTTGCCAGAACAAATTGGCGATTAAGTGGTTGGAGGTAGCTCAGGGATCCCCAAATCCACGATTGTGTTCCCTCCATGTTGGCACCGAAGCTTCTGGCAGGAATCTGGCTCTTCCCGTGCCAGGGTCTGCACACAGGACACGGAAAATACAGGCAAGCAGCACCGGAGGCAGCAGCGTGGTTTCCATGCCCACATGCAGGGGCACCAGCGCCCTCTCGCTCGCTTGCTGACCTGGCTTATGGAAGGAAGGCGGCTGGGACCCCGGGACAGCTGGCCTCCGCCCCCGGCCCTCCTCTGCAGCTAAGGGCTGCAGAGCCCGCAGGCGTATTCTGGCATGCACCCTCCCAGTTCTGTGCAGTCCGCCCCAGCCTAGAAGCTGAGCTCAGGAAGCAGCAAAAGGCACCCTGCGGAGCCAGGAAAGACAGCACGCAGACGACCTGCGCACCAAGACACCCTGTGGATGGCAGGAGGCCAGGGAAGGGTATGGAGAGGGTCCTGGAGGGAGGTCGGCAGCACTCCAGAGCTGAGGAGCGGGAACTTGGGTGTGCAACCGGTCCCCAAGCGTTGAACTTGACCATCAGAGGGGGCCACCAGGACTGTGGAGGCAGGGGTGCGGCGAAAGGACACAAAGGCTAACTACAGCTACTCGGAAGGAAGCGGTTTTTTGAGAACCAACCTGGAAGCTTAAGAACAATCGCACCGGGAGAGACTTTGTAATGAGGAAGCTGAAGAGGCAAAGAAAGGAAAATCCGGATTGGAGAGTGAGGTGAGGAAAGAGTTAGAAGCCGAGAAAAGAAAATTGCAACAAGAACTAAAAAGAAGGGGGGGTGGGGAATAAATAAAAGAAATTTTCAAAAATCATGCCAGAGCGAACTTGTTCCTGAAACTGCCAACAGAGGGAAGAATACAAGGGTGGGGGCGCGGAACACACTGGAGGAGCCAAAAGTAAAGAAAGGAGGGGAGAGAAGACAGGATGCAAATTAAACCAGAGACGGCATAGTAAGTCACTGTTTCCTTTTCTTTTTCATTGACAACTTCTAAAGTTAGTCTAGTCACTAACACATCCATGGAATCCTTATCCACAGAGACTGATAATGACAGTGTCTACACTAGGTATAAACTCACATGTCTCCTTTCTAAATCCCCCAGTTTTGAAAGTTACCCCCACCTTTTTGTAGAATTTTTTTTTTCTCTGTTGTCTAAATCGAAATCATTCTAGCAAGGTGTGTGGAAGAGGGTGGGAGGAGGGGGCTCTTCTACAGAAACACACCTTTTCTGAGAGACTGACAGAAACACCTCCAGGGCGCTCTTGATACACCCTACTTCCCCCGGAGCATCCGTCCCACAACTTGTCTTAGATTCAAAGGCAAACTGCCCACACTGTGGCAATTTCTGTCACTCGCTCTCCGCCATCTGTTGAAGGGACCACGGTGAGCCTGGGGGAGCCTGCCGAGGCGCCAGCTCCCCCACTTACCTGGTCTGTGCAGGTGGTGCTGCTGGAAGGTGTGCTGGAGGGACCCATGGCAGAGCAGCATCGCACACGCACTTATCCACAAGTACAGGACCCAGGACATCGCAGAGACCATTGCCATTCTCTAAAGAGAACATGAGACACAGGTTACCCCCGGCTTCAAGCCCCTGGTGTTTCCGGCCGACTGAAGAGGGAAGTAGGATCTCAGACAAAGTATTCTTTTGCTACTTGGCTGGCTAAAAGGCACGTCCCTGCAGAGGTCATGCCAGGGAGTAGGGTTAAAGACCCTTTCCAGAAGCTTATAAATATGTCCCTTAAGTTCTGTAAGAGAAAAGGCCAACAAAGCCCCAAAATGCAGAAATAAAGTTTTTGACTGTCAGTCAGGCGGATGAAAACATCTCATGCCCATAAAAGCATCCAGTTTTGCACAAAGATCTGCAAACTAGTTTTCCCAGGCATTCAATAGCTGTAGACGTCCCCATCGTAACTTCATTGCAAGTCTGACATAAGCCTGGAAGAAAAGAGTGGGCTCTTTTTATTTTTTATTTTTTTAATTCTACAGTCATGAATTTTTAAACGCAATGCTGTCTTCTAAACTAAGTAATCATTTCTCAGAGGGATGCTGTAATCTCCCAATAGAACTGATCTTTCTGACTGGACTTGAAATCAGAAGGAACTGTGTCTTTAGCCGGAAGGAGTTTCAAAGGCAAGGTCTATGCATCTATCCTACAGCAAGCCAAATTTACAGTATTGCTTTGCTTCCTAAGATCCCATGTGGCATTTGCTGGAGCGTTGATGAATATGCATATACAGGTGGTGTGTGTATTTATGGGTGAGCATATACCTTTTCTCAGGCGCCGAAACTTTGACAGTCTTATCTGCACCTATGAGCATCTCAGGAGCTACAGAAGCTCAATGGCACTACATATTGTCCAATTTCCCAAACAACACCTTATGCTGCATTTCATATTGCCAAATTAATCAAACTTGAAGCATCTTCCTTAGTCAGACGGTGACAGGAGACATCCTCTATAGAAGAATTCAGTTAGCGACATGCCTTCCTCTCTGAGAGCTCAGAGAGGGGCTGTACAATCAAGGTTATGTTTTCATCCTTCCTTCTGTCAAACGATACCCTTCAACAGTTTCCACTGTACATTGAATAACTGCTCATGACCTCCCAGTATGCCTTCCTTATTTGTGGAAATTGGTACTCTTTGGAAACCAGTGATGTTCAGCAAAAATAAACATCATGCACACACATATCTGCTTGGACATAATTCTGGGTACTTTGCAGGTTTCAGGGAGATGGAGCGTTTCAGAAGGGCTTTGAGGGTGACAATGGATAAACACGACAACTGTAATTAAGTGCCAAGTGGGAGAACATTCTTCCAACAGCATGGAGCCATCCATGCCCCAGGCGGTGACTCAGGTGGACCACTCACTTTCTAATTAGTTTCTAGTTTGGTGGCCCACTATTTAGTTTTGTATACAGCATGCTTTGCTTCATTGTATTCAGAACTAGCAGGAGAGCATAGATGCACTCTCATCAGCAGAGATAAATAGATATATCCCTCCTGTGAATCCCCAAATGAATGCATTTTAGAGCCTTTCAGAATAGCCTGCAAATTACAGAAAGACAAAACAGAGGTGACCCCGTATGCATTTGCTATTTGCCAATCGCTGTTAAAATGCACCGGAAATTTAACTCAGGGAAAAAAATCTAGCCATCATCAAAACTTAACAATTCTTCAGAGACTGCTTTCTCTTGCTCATTTTAAACCCACATAGACCTCAGTACACAGGAAGATGCTATGACTTAACAATTACAATGCTGCTCTTTCTTCTTTCTTTCTTTCTTTCTTTCTTTCTTTCTTTCTCCCTCCTCCCCCTCCCCCTTAACTTTCTTTAATTCCCAGCATTACTCCCCAGGCTCCTGCATATCTTTCCCTGCTTGCTCCCTGACAGAGCTCTGCTCTGTGGCAGTAAGTGTTTTCCTCCAAATAATGCAGCTAGCCTTGCATACTTCTCTGAATATGTTACAAAGCTGCGTTCTGGATCTTAAGTCTTTACAGAGGCTTTCTTACCTGAAAAATCCAGCCAAGAGCAGGGCACTCTCCTAGTGTTCATTGGAAAGAGCTAACACTTTTTAAAATCCATCTGTGTCACAGTTCTGAGATTTTTTTTTCAAAGAGAACGCTTCCCGGCAGTTCTTTATCAAGAATTGAAAAAAAAAAAAAAAATCAAGCTTTCCTCCTCCAGTCCTATTTTCACAGTTGAGAAGACGTTGGGTTCGTTCACTGTATTGTCAGAAAAGGAACCAAGGTTTGAGGGGCGGAAACCTTGTCATTTTCACCTTTAAATCATCTCCTGGCGTCACCTCTGTCTGACGAGACCTTTGAAGTGATGGTGAGCTAATGTAGTTTCCTGATGAGAAGCAGTTTATAGCCGCGGACGCGGACGGACCATCCCCACTTCAGCACATTCAGGACAGAGTTAGGCAGCGAAATGTAGGAGCAGGGCTGCTATACCTCCTGTAAGTAGCGGGAGTCTGTTTCAGTACACCCCTCCTCTCTAAAGTCTCACATGTCTTAAAGTGACATTACCCTTGATTGTAGATGAGGTAAATTCTAATAACTGCCCTTAACTCTCCCACGACCCAAGCAGTGTCTTAATACAATGTCGCCTGCTGATCTGTGGTGTTTTTATTTTTTATTTTTTCTTATACCGTTCTCATGCTAGGGGACTGTGAGGGAAAGAAAAATGAGGGAGAAAAGACAGCATGCAAAATATTGATGGTGTTAATGGCTTTTAGGCTTCAGACAGTAAATGGGAAAGGGAAGCAGGCACCATGTCTTACCTCTGAGTATTCTTTGTGCCAGCAAGCTAACTGAATAGAGTTAGACTTGTCCTGACTTTTTTTTTCTGTTAGTTGTTTTGTCAGCTATTTCTTGGAATTCGATTTATATGGGATATAACTGATGTTTGTGTTTCTAAGCCAAATAAAATCTTCGGAGCTATTTAACATGTTTAATAAGTAGAAACATACCATTGCTAGCAGCAGAGACAGTTAGGATGAAGAAATATGCTCAAGGTTCTTTGTGAAAGTATTTTTTGCTTTCTTTAAATAGCATGCTGAGATGGAAAGGGAAAACACTCAGAAGCTCAGTAGCATCTCTAGTACTATGGTGTGAACCCTGGCTTCCCTGGAAGTATACTATGATTGTACTTAAACTTCAGAGGCGCATGGGAGGTGACCTACTTTTCTTTTATAGGCTGTGGCAGTGATAATTCTCCAAAATGCCCATTCAATTGCTTCACAAGTCACTTTTATCACACCTACTATGTGCTAGATGCTTGGGATAAAGCAGAAAGCAAGACCGGTGTGATCCCCACTGTCAAAGGTCACCACCCTAAATCCTCTACATTATTTTCAGACATGGTTCTCACAACCTTCTTGTCTTGAAAAACTTCAAAGTTTCTGAGAATTCCAATTTCTTCCCCCTTTTGTGGGCATTATAAAGAAGGCTGAATGCTGGGTGTATCTTTGAGAACAATATCCTTTCTCATGTTCTCTCTTTTTCTCTCTCTCCCTTCCCCCCTCTCTGGATCGCCCTCCCTCTCTTCTTCCCTCCTTCCCTTTGGCTCTCCCTCCCTCCACAAACCAAATTTCAAAACTAACAATCAAATGAGTTAAGAAGGACAAGTTTTCAGTTTGGATTTGTGTGTTTATTTCATTGCCTCATTATTGTTGTCTATAGGAAGTTCGTTCAGAATCAAGACAACAGTAGAAACAGCCACAGGAGCTGGGGTCAAAGTTTGTCAGACCTTCCCCACATGCTCAGACTGTTCTGAACTCTATCTTGTAAAGCATAACCTAAAGTGTTTTACTAGTGTAGAAGGACAGGCTCCATCTCACAAGTGAGGAATATGGAGGGAAGACAAGGAAGCGAAAAGAACTCTTTCAAGCTAAAGAAGCACAAAGTGAAAGGGTGGGTTCCAACTTAAATGCTCTGCATGGGAGCCATCTTGTCAATATTCCAATAAAGGGATTTATGAAAAAAAATAATTTAAAAATCTGTCTTTATGTTTTTATTTGTTTTACAGTAAGGGAGTTTCAAGATTTACTAGTCATCTATTCTAGAGTCATAGATTATTCTAGACATTTGAAACATCTATGTGTTCAAGACAGGCTTTACCCCATGATTTTGGGGGGTCTGACTTTGGTTTTCAAATAAATTTACATTAAAGTAAATTCATACATGCTAACAAATGCCATCATTTTGAAATACTATAACCTTACAATTTTCATTTCTAGGGATTAAACAGAGGATCACCATAGTTGCTCAACTATAATTCAGTTTTAATACAATTGAAGCATGGACTCATGGGTCATGTTTAAGGCACTGCAGAAAACTTTTGAGATATATGAAAAGCTAAGAGATTTGCTGTAACATTCTACACATGTATATGACGGGTGAAATGAATGAATGAAATAGGGATGTTAACATTGCTCCATTTATATCTTCCCAAAACATGCTTTACAATCTATTATATTGCAGCCAGTGATCTTTTCCTTGATAACATAAACATTAGAAAATATTGAGTGTGTGTGTGTGTGTGTGTGTGTGTGTGTGTGTGCGCGCGTGCGTGCGTACCTGTGGTATGCAGAGTATGGTCCCTGTGTGTGCAGAGACCAGGTGAGGTTTTGTTCTATCACCCTCCTCCGCTTTGGTCCCTAGAGCTAGGCTGATACCTAGCAAGCCCCACCAGTCCTCCTAACTCTGCCTCCGACAGCACTGGGGCTATAGGCACAGATAGCTTTTGATAGGGGCGATGGGAATTTGAACACAAGACCTCACCCTTGCACAGCAAGTGCTTTTACTCCCTGAGCACCCTCCCTCCCCAGCTTCAACAAACACAGAGGTTCTAGTTAACAAGAGTGACTGTCGTGCCCTTCCAGGGACTTGTGCCTTTCTGACCACAGTAGAACAGAAGCAGGTGCACTTTGGGTTGGTTGGGGTTAGGTCTGTCAGTGAGGGCAGGTGCATCACAATGGGACCATGCACGTTCCTCTTTGCCTCTGGAACTGGGACAAGCTGTGCTATCAGCCTAGATCAGATCACCAAGGGACCGTGTGATGAGAGGCCCTTCCTCCTCCCCTCCCAAAACAGATGGATACACACAGTGAATAGGAAGTAGTTGCCAAAGCAACTGAGACTTGTAACTTTATTATAGCATAAAATTGACAATCCTGATTGATAAAGACTTAAACCGGTATTACTCATTTCCTAATTAAATTGTTTTGTTCCATCCTAAGCTATCTCTGAGGAGACAGCGGTGTGACCATTCAAGCTTCTGTCTTCAGAGTCCGCTGTGGTAAGAGTCTATTGGTTATCATTTGTCAGTGTGCTGATAACCACAAAGCTTGGAGTATTAGGACTAGAGGCCCAAGTAGGGAGTGATGTATAAGTTGGCCCCTAGTATGGCTGATGATAATGGACCAGTGTCATGACAACACAGTGAAAGAAAAGGGACTAAGAAGGACTTCAGGCTTTCATTAATTTAAAATATTCCAAGCATTGTGGGGTTCAAGTCATTTTCTGGGTCAAAATCCTAAAGATAGAGCTTTCAAATACAGTACTGTATATGCATGTATAAATACGCATGCTTTTAAATATATCCTGTTTCACAAGGATTCCTCCCATGGAAAATCAGAAAGAAAGGCATGCAGGGACATTGGAGGTAAAGTAAAGTACTCAGAATGTTCAAATAGCCCCAAACCTGCAGCAAACTGCCCTGCACAAGGAAACATGGTAAGTAGAGGGTAGAGGAGGCGGGACAGATGCTGTAACAGGATGGAAATGAAGGAGGAGGAAACATCAGTGAGAAAGAGGTGGAGGCTGAGGAACAGAAGGAACCTAGTGAATAGGAAACACCGAGTCCAGTTGTCTTAAATTATTTCACGTGTTTTGCCTGCATGTATATGCACACATGCCTGAACCCACAGAGGCCACAAGAGGGCAGCAGATCTCCAGGAAGTGGAGTTACAGGTGTTCGCAAGCAGCCATGTGGTGCTGGAAATCAAGCCCAGGTCCTCCACAAGAGCAGCCAGTGCTCTGACACTCAGCCATCCAGTCACCTTGGTGGAGAACTACACCTAACGAGTGGATAACACATTGCTCCCGATGAAACTGTAGCTCTAAATGATGTCAAGTCTCTGTATAAATGTTCCACACAGTTAGGGTAACTTAAAAACTAACCTGGGATCCCTGTATGGTGGCATATGCCTATAATCTCAGCACTCGGGAGGCAGAGGCAGGTGGATCTCTGTGAGTTAGAGACCAGCCTGGTCTACAAAGTGAGTTCAGGACAGCCAAGGCTATACAGAGAAACCCTGTCTTGAAAATAAAATAAAATAAAATAAAATAAAATAAAATAAAATAAAATAAAATAAAATAAAATAAAATGCTAACCTGAGAAATCCATCCAAGAAACTAAACTCCATGTACAGACAGCAAGCACTGCCACATATTTACTCAAAAACAAACAAACAAAAATTCCCATTTTACTCCATTCTACACTTTTTATTTCTCCTCATTGGAGAAATAAATGATAGCTGTCCTTATTGCAATTTAAGAACAAGCAAATTAATGATTCAGATAATCTTAATTCACAAAGGTACAGAAGAAAATGCGAGACATGCAATATTTTACGTCCGCACATTTCTGAACTGAAAACGATGAAAGGACTTTGAATAAATGACAGCAAGCGAAAGGAGCACACCAAGGTTCAGTTCAATGCAGAGTGAAATGACATGTACATTAAATATTTCTTCAGGTAGCACACTTTGGCTGTGAATTCAGAGCTGCTTTTTTTTCCCTTATTCCATTTCAATCAAATAATGAAAATGGTGACATAGACAAAAGGATGACTGAGTGATTGAGACAGTTGGAATCCAGCTTTAGCACCACTAAAGCCCATTTTTTACTTTTGTTCCTTTTTCTTTTTCTCTAGTCTTCATTTCTTTACTTCTCTCTCTCTCTCTCTCTCTCTCTCTCTCTCTCTCTCTCTTTCTTTCTGTTCTTTAGGAGGAGAAAAAAGTTATTGGGGCTACCCACCAGTAGTCTAGAATGTCCATTTTAGATTCCTCATTATGCAAAAGCAGTTTTGCTAGCTAAGTCATAATTCTATCCTGTCTCCCTCTGTGAGCCCAGTCTCACAAGCCATTTGTGCTCTAACATTTTTTTCAGAGTCCCAGTTTTCCATGTATGATAGAGCCCTGAAATTTGTTACATACCAGAAATGTAGCACTTGTCCATCTTGCTCATGAGAACTAAATATAAAAATGTTTGTTACACACACTTTCTTAGTTATTGTTATGGTTTAAATGTGTGAAATAACCCCCCCTCATAAGTTCACATATTTGAAGACTTGATCTCCAGGGGATGGCACTGTTTGCAAAAGTTGTAAGAACCTTTTGGAGGTGTACTCTTGCTGGAGGGAGTGGGACAGCACCTTGAAGTTTTACATCCTGGCCCCATTTTTTGTTTACTCTCTGCTTCCTGAATATAAATGTTATGTGAGCAGCCAACTGCCTACCTCTGCTCCCATGATAAACTCAATCCTTCTGCAACTGTCAGCCAGAATAAACCCTTCCTTCCACCCAATCCCTTTGTTTGAGACAGAGTCTCAATATGGAGTCCTGGTTAGCCTAAAACTCACTATGTGGACAAGGCTGGGCCTGAACTCACAGAGATCCGCTAACCTCTGCCTCTCTGGCTCCCCAGTTCTGGGGTTAAAGTCATGTGCCATCACACCCGGTTCTTAAGTTACTCTTGTCAGGGTGTTTTATCACATCACGGCAAGAGGAAAAGCAGTGAAGACACTTACTCTGCTATTGTGTACTATCTGATATCAAACAACACTGGAGAGGAAACTATGAAAAACAAAAATTAGGTAAAACAAATTTAGAGTGTGTGATCTGATGATGTTAACTCATGTATCAACACGGCGGGGAAACAACAAAAGCTTCTTACACTAGTCTGGGCCTTTACACATACTTTCATTTAATACAGAATTGCTAACAGGTAGACTTTTTTGTTAAAGACACCTAATTTCAGAGAAACTGGAAAATTAAAACAATGTGACATCTCTGTCTAGCAAGGTTGGAGGACTATGACTCAGATAGTTCTCTGATTCCTAGGGCCCAGGTGCTAAGCAACCGAATTCTAGGCAAACAACATTAGTGAGGAACAATAAATTTTGACTCATCATTATAACAGCATAGACCTAGTCATTAAAGTGAAGCAAGCCAGATATGAGAGGAGAGTATGACAGATAAGACATGAAGCCATTCAAATAAACTCTGAAGTGGCCACAATGAAGATGGGACAATTACACTTTTAAAATCTAGAAAATGAGATTTAAGAACAAAAAAAAAAAAAAAAAAAGTAAAATAAATGAAAACGGTAAGAACAAAGAAATTACTGCTTAGAAAAGAATAAAACATTTAAGTAACAGGGCCTGGTGAGATGGCTCAGCTGTTAAGGGCACTGGCTGCTCATGCAGGGGACCCAGGTCTGGTTCCCAGCACACATACGGTGGTTCACAACCGCACGTAACTCCAATTTCAGAGAACAACTCTCTCTTTTGGCCCCCCCTCAGGCACCAAGCATGCACATAATACGCATACATGCAGGCAGGCAAAATAGACACCTATGATAATAAAATAATTTTTTAAAGTTAAAAATCTGTTAGTAATAACAAAATAGTATCGGCGAACCTAAATTACTTGTTATAAAAATGGTGATAGTTTATTACTTAGATCTGAATGCAGAAGCTAAAATTTTAGTAATTGTAAGAACAAGAAGATGGAAGTAAGGTTTTTCTGAGGCCTGTTGAAAAGGTAACCTTCATATAGGAGACTCATTTTTCAACTCCAACAGCCTATTTCTGCAATTACTTTATCAAGTAGAACTCACTGCTCACTGCTTATCATCTCTGTCTTGTAGGCAGAAGAAAAAGAAAGAATGAGGTCATTTCCTTTGTTCTTCAATTCCTGGTTTCTTTATTGTCTTTTTAGGACACGGATAAAGCCGAAATCACAACAGCTGTTCATCCTTCTCTCTAAGCAAAATAAGGAATGGGCAAGAAAGTCAGAGACCAAGGGTGTCTTCATTACAAGGGTGTAAACATGAACTATCAGCACCTAAAATTACCTAATTTTTGTTGGGTTGTGACAACCACTGCTTTGGCAACTAGAAGCAATCACGTGATATTTTCACTGTGAAAATTTCAGGTCCAAGAATGGTGTTGTGGCTCAAGTGGCAAAGTGTTATGGGCTGCGCAAGCTGAGGATTTGAGTTTTAATCCCCAGAACCCATGTAAGTGCCAGGTGTACACAGCAGATCCCTGTAATTCCAGAACTCAGAAGGTAGAGATAAGGGATCCCCAGAACAAGCTAGCTGCTCATATGATCTGGAATGGCAAACTCTGCTTTTTTTTTTTTTTTTTTTTTTTTTTTTTTTTAGAGAGAGCCTGCCTCAGTGCACCAGGTGGGAAGTAATCAAGGAATATACCCAACGTTTGCCAGAAGTTTTCACATGTACCTGCACCCGTGTGCAAAGGCACCTGCAAAAATAACCCTACACAGGTGAACATGTACACGTATGTACATTTTCAGACACATGAAATAAAGTGTTACTCCTATTATTCTTAACCCCTCAGATTTTCGGTTGATCGGAAATCGTATCTCCCAGACCCACTATGATTACATAAATGACTTTGATTGGTTTGTGCCTAACGTGACTCTGCCGCATCCCTTCCAATGAATTTCTACACCCAGTTGCTTCTTTCTCTAACTTGTGCTTCCCAGCCATGCCTCAGATCCTCTATTGTTTCCTTCTTCATTCAAACACACTAGCCCACGGTGTACCCATCACCTTTATCATAGCAGCAATACCTGCCTACGTAGCCCAGCTACCTGAGACTGTGCTTCTTCTACCCACATTGCCCTCATTCTGTATGTTACATGGAATATATTCAATACCCACAATGATCACGTTACCCTTGCGGGTTTAAAATTTTTCAAAGACTTGCCTCTTAGATTAACATAAAGTCTAAGTTTCATGACTGCGGTCCCTGTTTAGACTGCACCTCTTATAAACATGCTGTCAACTTCACAGAATCCGGAATCACCAAGGAGACACACATGTCAGAACATCTTTGAGCGATTACCCAGATTAGGTTAACTGAGGTAGGAAATCTACTCCACACATGGGCAGCACAGTTGTGGACTGGGTCCTGGGCTTTATAAAAATGAGAAGTCAAGCTGAGTACCATCATGCAGTGTTTTCTGCTTCCTGTGGATGCACGGTGTCTAGCTGCCTCTAGCTCTAACTGCTATGATGAACTGTACCCTTGAACTGTGAGCCAAAACAAGCTATTCATTAAGATTTTTTTACCAGTTATTTTGTTCCAACAATAAGCAAAGTGGCTAATACACATGTCTGCTCTTGCTCCTGCTGATGCCTTTTCTTGGGAACTTAAATGAGACTGAAGTTGTATTATATTAAACTTAAAAAGAATTCCCACAGCCTCCTAGCTTTGTGTCTCTTTTCTGGCAGACATAAGAAGATATAAGCAAAAGAAAAGGGCACACTCAAGGGAACACAGAGGCTTAACTGGCACAGCATGGATGGTATGAGAACATGGGTTACCCAGGCTAGGGAAATAGCTCAGACACTGTCTGCCATTGAACCATGGCTACCTGAGTTTGACCCCTCCTAATCTACGTTAGCTGGAAATGGGGACATGCACTTGTTCTCTTATATTCCCAGGACTACAGCAGATAGTTGGGGTGAAGATAGACGGACCCTGGGCCAACAGCGTAGCCTACTTGGTAAGTTCCATGCAAATGAAAGACCAGAGAGAGAATGAGAGAGAGGTTAGTAGTGCTTTAGAAATAACATCTGATGCTGTCCTGTGCCCCCCACATACGCATGTTCACCAGGTTTTCCAGTCTGACACAGCTTACCCTCTCTCTCCCCTACCCCTTCTTTGTCACTTTCTCTCTGCCACCCCCATTTCCCTTCTTCACTGTACCCTACGCATACGCACACTCACAACACTGCACAGCGGAATCTCCTACAGTGCTGAAAGTGTTTTCTTTGTACGCTGGTGAAGATGGGACCCACCGCCCCCTAGTTGTTAAGCACTTGCAATGTGCCTAGTACAGTTATGGAAGTCAGCTTTAAATTCTACTAACTTTCTCTTAAATTTGTTTAAATTTAGACAGCCACATTCAGCTAGTGGCTACTGTGTTAGAAAGCACAGCTCTGGCCCTCACTATCGAGGTCAGGGAGAAGAAGGCCTGGGCCCCTGGGTAGCTTTGCAGGAAGATAGAAGGAGATAGTCACTGCTATGGCTTAAATGTCCTCAACAAAGCTCACGTTGAAATAAAGTTTCTGTTTAGATGTATTGAGAGGTGGGGCCAGGTAGGGGGTTAAAAATGTTCTGCACCCATAAATGGGTTAATCCATCCATGGACCAACGAATGAAGAAGTTAATACATTAGCTTGACAATAGGTTTGTTACAAAACGCAGCTGTCTCTTGTATGTTACCTTTTCATGATATAATAGCCTCTGATAGTAAGAATTTGCAGATTCCCCTCCAGAAAGAAGACCTTCAACAAATATGGTACCTTGACCTTGGATCAAGCAGCCTCCAGAACTACATGCTGACTGAATCTTTGTTCTTTACTAATTAGCCAGTCTACTGTGTTCAGCTACAGGATCAGCAAGCAAACGAAGACATCAATCTTCCAAGATTCTAATGACACAAAAGAAGAATGTAAGTTGTAAATGATGGTTGCCACTTGCAGAAAAAAAAAAAAAAAAAAAAAGGAAAAAATGCACTAAAACCATTTCAAACAAGAATATAATAAAAAATGTGCGGTTTCTAAGTATTTGACAGCCCACAAACTCATCTCAAGGTGAGTCTGTTTCTGCAATTCCACTGTGCCATTGAAGACCTGGCTGCCTTACTTCTAATGATCTCTTTGCCTTTCAGGGTATCTGTCCCATGTCGATCTTCTCATCATGAATGCATCAGGACTGCTCACAGGTGTCTGGACTCTGCGCTTCCTCATCCATGACATGAGTTTTGAACGAGACAAACTGCGGCACCTACTTCCAGGTAATTCAAGATCTTCTAGCTTGCTGCCAATTACTGATGGCACAGGTTGTGCTTTCCTTGACCTTGGTGGTGCATAGCAGAGCTATGCTTTGCAGTCCAGCAGCCATTAGTCAGCCATGGTACTCAAGTCTATCCAGGTGATGGCAAGAGAAAGGGTTATGCCTCCTTGGGCTGCTCTCTGGACCACGAGGAAAGATCACAGTGCCAGGCTTAGAGTGAGTAATGCCCCAGCCCCCATCCATAAGCTAAGAGAGAGGGATGGAATGAGAGAGGTGGCACACAGGAAGCATTAGATTAATAATGAGAAAGGGGGGACAAATATTGAAAAGATAATCCCATTTGTGATCAAAGCTGTAATGTTTTTCTACAGTTTCATGTAATTTCTCTTCTTATAAAAATACTCACTCGTGTTTTTCTCTTTTTAGTATCTCTTTAGTTAGAGTTAATCTTTTGGTTTCATTGTGACACTTGAATACATATATATGATGAATCTCCCCCAACTGCTCTCCCCCATACTGCCTTTCCCCCACTTGCTGGTACCATTCCTGCCCCTAAATAGTCTCTCCTTCTGCTTTCATGTCACACATATTCATCATTTTAGGAAGGTAGAATACTCAAGATCTAAATAGAGAATTTGAAAATCATCTCTGATGCAGCAGAGCAAGGTTTGCAACCCTCACATATACGCCTAACACTTTTCCAAGCATTTCTCTTGAATGTCTTACTTTTCTAAATACTAAACTTTTTAACATTTACTGTATTGAGCCAGGCCCAGTGACTCATTCCTGTAATACCAGCACTTAGGTGCTAAGGCAGGAGAATACTATCAATCCTAGGGTCAACCTGAACTATGTGGTGAGTACCGAGTGTGCTTGGGGTACACAGTGAGACCCTTTCTTGACAAAAGTAAAAAACATTTCAAACATGTTTTACATTCTTTTTCCCTCAGGATATCACATTTTCCAAATCAGTAATTCTTCCTTCAGTGGTGTCTTAGCCAATATAAGTAGTCCAAATCTATTAGTTATTTCTAACGTTTTGTTGCTCTTATTTTGAAGAGATAGAGCAAAAAAGGAGAATGTTTCTCTATGGGATCCTACAAAATACTAGTTGTTAACTCCTGAAGAAGACTCTCATCTGCTTTCCCTTCTGGAGAAGCAATCCTCTTAGCTTTTCTTGATGTTCTATGTTCATATCAATTTTATTTTAAAATGAATTTTTCTTCTGAGTTTTCTTTCAATATTAATATGGCCGATTTTCTTTGTGGTTTCAATTTAATTCTGGGAACTATGCAATTTCCGGTAATAGGACAATATTTTTTAATTCGTATTTTAACCAAGACTGCCTACTTGCTAGACAAACTCACCTCCCCTGAACCTCACTACCAGCCCCTTTCTTGGGTCTTCTTCCTTTTAATTATTGTTGAGCTCATCTATGAGACAGTATTAATGCAATGATCTAAGAACTCCGAAGCTACAATCTGTTCTCAGCCCCACCTAGGAGGATGTACACTCTGACCCATGCACACAGCATCATCGCAGATGCTTACCAGAGGCCTGGAATACTGTTAGCTTTCATCAAATTTTCTTTTTTCAACTTTTTTTTCTTTACGGTAAGATTTATTTCTTAGACTTTTAAGATGTTTTCTCACTTCTTGTAACCCTTGCAAATTCAACTGTATTTGAAACATCGACAGTTTTGTCCCCTCTTTTATGTTCACCCACTTCCACCTGTTCACTTTACTTCCCCAACTGAAATTCTCTAGAACGAGTACTTATAAATCATTTTCCAAGGAGTTTCACTTGGCTTCTCCAGTCTACACTAGACACAGATTCTTGAAAGCTCTGAGAGTCAGTGCTGCTTCCATCTGCAGTGGTGTCTATTGCTCTGTATCCTCAATCTACTGCTCAAATCCATACCATCAAAGTGCAGAGCCTTTCAGCCCTTCCAATGTATCACATGCTTCTTGATTCAAAGCTTTTATACGTTCTGTTGCCTTTCTATCATCTTATTCTTTACCCAAGTTAGATTTTAGCACCCTGGATACAGACTTTCTCTAACCCCATCATTCTTTGCTTCAAGCCTGCTTTATCTTCCCAAAACGCACACCGTATAATGATGTCTGGAGTGGGATTTTATTCGTTTTGAAACAATTCTCAATTATCCCAGTGTGTAGCATGGACTGGTCTGAATCTCCCTGCCCCTGCCTCCGAGATGATGGGGTTGTAGGATGTGCCACCAGCCCCACTATACTTAATTACTCTAAAACTGTAGATCACAAAACCTCAAATGAAATGGCATTCACCCATAGTTTCCACTTAATATCATTTTATTCCTCCCTACCCACCTGATTGCTCATAGCTCCCCATTCACTCTTCCCTTCTCGAATGAATTTAATTGCTCATTCATTCAGCAATGTACGGAGACTTGAACTCAAGAACTCATGAAAAGATGATAGATCATCACAACTAGGTTCATTGCCTCAAAAGCTTTCCAAATTCAAGAGCTTTGGTAAAATCTGAAAGCTCCCCGCTCTGAACACTACTGTTTGTTTGCTGTCTGGCAATGTACCTGGTCCATAGTGGGTATTCAATCAATATTTATAGAAAATATGAATAAATGAATGTGTGAATGAATGAACAAACTCAGTCACTTCTCATTTATTCATGTTTGAGATGTTTTATAAATTCCCAGGAAGATGCTAAGTGGGTGGCTGGCAGTGGGCTGAGCGGGAGGAGGCTGGGAAAAGTTTCAGATGATGTGTCTGTGCGAGCATGGGTGTTTGTGTGGGACGCTGAGGCTCGCTGTGCCTAAAAGTGCCTCTCTAACCACATCCCAGCACCAGAAGGAAGTGCTCCTCGCCTCGCCTCTCGTTTTCTCTTCCCTATCCTCTCCTCTCCCCTCACATACCATATTGACAGTGGGCCTTCCCCGCTCTTGGTTTCCACCCTCACATGAAGCGTTTTTCATACTGTAATGGAGAGTGTGTGGTATTTCTGACGGTGCCAGCTCAGACGGGAGAATCTAGCCACATGGGATTAGAGCAGAGGGAAAGAGCATTGTAAAAGGAAGCCTTGAGCACTTCTCGGGAGGAAGAAATGACCAGATTCATGCTCCCTAAGCCATAGGTCCTCAGGCATGGCAGAGAATTTCAGTAAGGGATGGAGTATTTACGCTTCTATGTCCCAAGACCTTACCCTGAGACCCATCAAATTGGTATCCCTAGATGGGAGACCCTGGCAATAGGATTTTTCACAGCTCCCTGGTTAGTTTCAATATGCAGCCAAGTTTGAAAACCACTGTGCTAAAACAAAAACTTATTTTGGTAGATTTTGTGTCACTATGGCAACTCCAGAAATACCTGCAATTCCTTGTTAATTAGTTGCCAACTAAAAACACAAATTTGCTATGTTTAACAGATGCAAGGTTAGCCCAATGTAGGCATATTTATTGAACGCTCACTATGTGCTTTGTATGGTAATAGCCACCATATGAAACCTCTACTTCATTATCATGTTTTTCTGGCTCTTCACTTAAATGCATAGAGTAGATGAAGAATAAGTGTTCCAAGGAGTGTCTATCAGATTTCAAGGTTGCCTTCTTTAAATACATCTCTTGTTTTGATTTTCACTTGCATTAACACAATTCCCCTTCTTGAATTAACTGTGGTTTTAGGAGTCTTCCCTGTGACACATGGAAGACCCATTCCCTGGTGTCACGATTAGATTAGCCAATTTGGGCCAGCCAAGGTTTGTGAACATCTCTTGGGAAGATGTCTTTCTCTCATCTATGACAACTTCAGGGAGTACTAGTTTAGGATGAAAACAATATTAAGAAATCACAGTGACTCACATGGGGGGGGGGAGTCCTCTGCTTAAGAAAGCCACCCCCAGTACCCACTGAGCTCCACATTTTGACTACTAGGGGTTAAGGCAGCTATACCAGTCCTGGCAGACCCAGGAGCTTCCAGGGATTCTCCTGTTTCTCCTCCTCACGCCGCTGTAGGAGTGTTAAGATGACGGACGCGTGCTATCACATCTGGCTGTCTGTGGATTCAGGTGCTTGCATCTGTACAATGATGTCTTTACCCACCAATCCACACCCCCCCACACACACACACATACACACAAGCCTCTGACCTCCCATTTTCAAATTAAATAAATTAGGATCCAAAGATATGAGGTGATTTATGCCAGGTGACACAATTTACCTGTCCTGAATTATATAAAGCCAGGCTTTGCTCTCAAGATTCTTTGCTGCCTCGCCATGGCTCATTCCACCAAGTTCCGGGACCATCCTCATTGAGAATGCTTGCCTAAGTTTTCCAATGTGTTGAATGAGTTGCAATGGCCATTGTCTCTGAAATGCCTTTAGCCTTCCTTTGAAGAAACTCTCTCTAGAAATAGATATTCTCAGCCCTCTCTCAAAAGACATACTCCCCCCAAACCTATGGGTGCAATTTGATTTTCAGATGTAGACAGCATGAAATAATATGTAAAGCTGTTGAAAATATAGATCGCACAGCCCACCCCCAACCAAGAAATAACATTAAAAATTCTACCCGGCTCAGCTGCTTCAGTACACTTTTACACTACACATGATGCTGCTGAATATATAAAATACTTGGATCTAAATTTAAAAATGCTCCCCCTCCCCTTGATTAACCAGATTGTCCCCTCCCCTATATATAGGAACGCTATGTGCCTGAGCCCACTTGCCATCTGTCATCATATTTTCCAAACTTCTCTTCCACCCCCTCCTCTTACACAATTTTATCACATAAAAAATATTAGATTTCAGGGATTTGTATAATTTCATGAAAATTCCTGAGCCAAGTGAAGAGTAGAGGAAGGGCTGGTATATGAAATTGCCTCAGTTTTCCAGTGCCCAACTCATACCAACAGCCATTGCCATACCCTTTAGGAGAACTTGCGTGGCTAAAAATAATGAGTCAGTTTTCCTCTATTGTAACATTTCATATTAGGGATTTGAGAGTGTTT